AATTAAGTAGTAAAATTGATTAAAAAAAAAAAAAACTTGTTATAAAATAGTCCAACTAACATTTCATTAAAATAACTTTTAAGCTAATTTATTAATATTACATGTATACAAACTTAGATGATGGTTCAAATGAGGATACTAAGAGGGTGTTTGGGATTGCTTATTTAAAGTGTTTTTTAATTTATTTCCGGTGTGATACCGATAATAAGAAGTTTTTAGTATTTGAATAAAGAAAAAAAGAAAATGCTTATACCGGTTTGGCACCGGTAATAAGGAGTTTCTAATAAGTTACTTCCTTCTAACTTATTAACTTATTCCGGTATGGTACCGGTTCTTAGTTTTTAGTGTTTGGATGAGAAAAGAAAAGGGTATCTCGTCTATTTTATCAACTTTTCTTGTATGGTACTGCCATAAGCTAATCCAAACACCTTTTATAAAACTCCACTTTACCACCGTATAAGTTGATAAGCATTTTTACAAAAAAAACATAAGTTGTTTTAAATAAATACCCCCTAACTATTTAAAGAAATAAGAAAAATTGGTCGTTAATGTACAAAATCACATGTGATTTACATTAACGTCAAAAAAAAAAAAAAAACGAACGACTTTTGAATATGTATGATTTTATATGTGAATATATATATATATATATATATATATATATATATATATATAGGGTTGGGTTCACGTGAGACCAAGGGTTTTTCGTGAGACCCGCAAGACCAATTTATGTTCATTGATCAACTTTATAAGTTAATGGTCTAAATTACACGGTGACAATTTTGTAATTATTGAGGAGTCTCGTGGCATTTATGAATGTTCAGATCTGACGATTGTAGATCTAATCCAAGGGTTGAGAATTGGTCTTACGGGTCTCACGAAAAATACTTGGTCTCACATGATCCCATATATATATATATATATATATATATCATGTTTGATGTTGTATATTAACGAACTTTTTTTTGTTTTTCTAAATAATTAGCATTCTTGTTCGAATCTGTATGCATATTTAAAAGGGAAAATTGCACCAAAAAGGAACCAACTTTCACCTGATTCCTATTTTGGGGAACCAACTTTCAAAATCGTCATTTTGGGGAACCAACTTTCACCTGATTCCTATTTTGGGGAACCAACTTTCAAAATCGTCATTTTGGGGAACCAACTTTCACTTGATTTTTATTTTGGGGAACCAACTTTCAAAATCGTCATTTTGGGGAACCAACTTTCACTTGATTTTTATTTTGGGGAACCAACTTTCACCTGATTCCTATTTTGGGGAACCAACTTTCAAAACCGT